CCGATGTGGGGACACACTCCCCTGTGCGCCTGGTCTGCCCCGGCGGTGGGTTCCTGCTCCCCCTCTGGGCTTGGACTGCAGGCCAGAGGGGGTCTGGCGTGGGCGAACTTCCCCCGCTCACCTCTGGCTCCTGAGGAAGCCTTCTGCAGGTAGTCTTTACTGAAGAAATGTCCCTATTCTATAATGGTGATGTGGGACACACTCCCTGCGTGTCCCGTCTCAGGCACACTCTTCTGCGCGCTTGGTCTGCCCCGGCTGTGGGTGCTCACTCTCCCTGTGGGCTCAGACTACTTGTTCGGAAGGGGCCCGGCGTGGGCTAACTCCCCAGCTGGCCACTAGCTCCTTCAGGAGCCTCTGCTGGCTTCAAGTCGCTAGGTGGCGACAGAGATCTCTCCTGGAGCCCTTGGGGAGCTGATTTTCCACCCAGTGGGACAGGGAGCAGAGCAGGGATGGTAGGGTACACCTCAACGGCTTTGGGGTGCTGTGTCTGCCTTGTGCCCCACCGTCGTGGGGAACCCACGCCCCTAATTTCGTGCCCCGGGTCTCAGTTCCAAAGCCCTCAGTTCCAGGACGCGGGCTGTAGCCCAGATCAGTGGCGCGGGAATGGCGCCTTTTGAATCCCGCTCCCCTGCCTGGGCGTCTGGTTCCTGCTCACTCGGGGAGGGCCTCCGCGCGTCTCCCCGCAAGCCTAGGTCGTCTCCCCGCAAGCCTAGGTCGCAGGCGCGGGGACCTGGGCAGCTGCGATCCGATCCGCGCAATCCGCGCCGCTTTCCCCGCGCAATCCTGCTCTGCGTCTGTTTTTCCGGTGCGCCGCTTTCCGCGCAAGCTTACCGGGCGGCCCGGGACTGTGTGCTGGGGCTGGTCTCCTCCTGGGCGGGGTCTCTCTTCAATGGCGCCCGGAGCTCACCTCCGCGGCGGATCCTGCGGGGGTTCTCCACAGCTCCCGTTCACAGGGTGTAGTGGCTGCAATAGTTCCTTTCCACTCACAGTCCCGCTTGCTGTGTCCTTTGTTCTTGTTGGCAGTTTTAGTTTGTTGTTTTCCTCCTCTCTGCCAGTCGGAGAGTGCCGCCTCTGTGGGCGGGGGAGGGGAGCAGGGGTCTGCGCTTCCCTCCCTTCTGGTCCTCTTTTATGGCCACTTTCTTCTTCGGGCAGTTTGCTGGAGTCGTCCGTTTATCTTCCGTGTCCCGGTTCTCACTGGGACCTGCCGCTTTTCCTCCCTATTAACTTTTTTTAATGGGAGATCTTACTCGCAGCGTCTCCTCGCCGCCATGTTGCTCCGCCCCTTAATTATCCTTCTAGTCTTAATTGAGATGTCTTTTCCTGAAAAGCCTCTCTGGACCTCACCTCATGAGCAGGTCACATCCACTGCTGTGTTCCCACAGCCCCTTATACTTGTTCTTTCCTAGCATCCCTCACTCATAATGATTTTTTAAATGTCTGCCTTCTGCTCTAACCTCCAAGTTCATGAGGGTAGGTTTCCTGTCTTTCTTCCTTTTTTTGATCTTTGCACCAAGCTCACTGTGGCATGTAGTGAATAGCCAAATTATTTTTGTTGAATGAATGAATTAATTAATAGATCAAAGACAAGAATAGCTCCAAATGGCAATAGACCAGACTCTACTAATATAAAATATAATCTTTCCTGCCTGGTACACCCATCTGTAACATACTAATCTTATTTCCTGAGAATAAACTAACAGCTTGACATGAAGATGGAATCCAGCCCCCTTACTGCAGTAGTAAATGGACATGTGTGCTTTCTGTGACAAGTGCCTCTGGGCAAGTTTGAGTCTCATATGAAAATACCTCATGAAATGGCAGTAGATTGTGTCATACCTTTTGAAAATTGTTAGTTACTTTTCAAAAGAATAACCTAGTAGGGCTTTTAGTACCACTTTGTGCATTTTCAGAAAATAGGTGCTGGTCTATCTTAGAGATTGTCTGCAAATTGAGACAGACTTGCATCCTTAGACATTCAGTAAGAAAAAGACTTAACCAGGTATTGGGCAAAAGTATCAGCAATAAATTTCATGAGCTTTTTTCTCCAGCATGTGCCTTTAGTGTGCTATGTAAAAGAGAAAGAAATAAGGCAACTTAAAATCTCTTTCCATATAGGGAATGAAAAAAGTGTGTGCCTTAGCTTTCATATTTTGTTTCAATCCATTTGTCTTTATTACCTTTGTTTTCACTTTCTTCTTCTTTTTAAAAGATTTATTTATTTATGCATACAAGAACTGGGGTACAGGCCAGAGGTGTGGGGGGTGAGAGGATTCACTAGAGACAGAGTAGGGAACAGAACAGGCAGAGTGACTGAAATACACTGCTGAGGGGAGCAGCGGGCCAGTCAGGAGAGGTCTGCTGCGCTATGCGGGTCACCTCCCTCACCAGGGATTGAACTCATGTTGCAGTGCCTGCGGATAGCTTCATAGGTTGCATCTAAACCCCTTGCACCACCAGGGAGGCCCCCACTTTCTTCTTTTTCTGTGTTCTTCTTTGAGAGGTGAAGATTTTAGGGAAATGAGCATAGTTTCATAATTGTAGAATGGAAAATTTGATTAAATTAAAATGCTGATTTCTGTTTCCTACTATTTCCGTGTTCTGCTAATTTTGTTTTGTCTGTCAGACTTTGTGCATAATATGCTCTTCCTGTGATGATGAAAGCCAACTGCGACAGGGTTCAGAATTTTGATTAATGCTTGCTTATAGGCACTTTGTACAGAGGTGATGTTTGTTCAAGATAAGAAAGTTGTAATGACTCTAAGCTGTATAAGTCCTGTCTTCATTAAGAAAGTACGTTCTGTCCTTCCCACTTTTCCTCTCCAAAGTAGTATATAATTACAACCAAATATTCCTCAATGCCTAGATAATAAATTTTGGAATGAAAGATGCGCCGTCCTTGAAAGAAAATGCCATATACCATTATTTTAGATTTCATGATATTTTGAGAGGGAGTATTTTTCAAATTGTCAGTTCTTGAAAAGAAGTGGTGAATGACCTTTTTAATTGTTGTGTGATGAATCTTGCCTTCCTCTTGTTAAAATATGTTTGCCTAGGGACATTCTTAGACAGAAAAACTAGCAATTTTTATTAAGAACAGAGGAGGTATTTTCCCTCATATTAATCACATATCCTCAATGTATACCCCTGACCAAACAGAACACATCTCCTCTGTCCTTGCATTTGTTGTCCTGGTAGCCCTAGGTAAGAAGTATGCAGCAAGGGTCTTCACTTGGGGCTTCGGCTGTGGGGGAGTAGTTCATAGGTCATAGGGAAGTGAAGTTGAAGCTAGACCAAAGTACGCAAAGTTAGTCAAGTGGAGGAGGGGTCTAGGATGCTTGTGCCAATGTTCAAGGAACTCAAGAAACTCCAGAGATGGCTATGTTTAGAGAACAAGGGTGGAGTAGAACCAGGCGAGGCTGTAAACACAAGCAGTAGAGGTAGTATCTATGTCCTTCCCTGCATGTTCAAAAATATGATGCTTCCTTGTCTTCAGACTGAAGTCCACATACCAGGTAAACAAGGCTCTTATTAGTCAGCTTCAGCCTCCCGTAAAGTCCCCATTCCTGCTGTCCTCTGTTTTCCAAGTACTGCCGTGTCTTAGCCACACTAGGATTTTATTATCCTCTAGCTTGAATATCCCTATACCTTTGCTGTGATTATTATCTGTCTACAATATCATTCCCCACCCCTGTCCTCTACTAGTAAAACCCAGCTTTAATGCCATTATATTGTCAAAGCATTTCCTGTTACCTGAAATCAAAGTGAATGGCTTCTCCCTCTGATTTGATAACATATTGCATTCTTTATTCTAATTATCCCATCCTGACTTGTCTGTGGTTGCATTTATGTATTGCTTCACCACTAAATGTAGGCACATAAGGGCAAGGCTTTTATTCAGATTGTACTTTGAGACCTGGCAGCACTGGAATTGGGGGTCTGGGGGGGGTTCTTTGAATTTTGGTTCTATTGCACCAAAGAAGTAAGAAGTATTCTACAATACAGAAATATTTTATTCAACTGTGCTGAATGTCTCAGCCCTAGGAAGCATTGAATGAAATGTTTTACCGTGTTCCTTGTCTGTGGAAGTTGTCTTACATAAATGGAATGTATGGGGGAATTGTTGAAGTGTCCTGGATTGTCAGGCTCTTGGGTGAGAGGGCTAGAGCTCACCTTCCTGCCACCTTTGTACTTCTAAATTCAATGTCAGTATGAAAAAATGTTCAACATCACTTGTCATCAGGGAAATGCAAATCAAAACTACCATGAGATACCATCTCACACCAGTGAGAATGGCACATATTAAAAAAACTAGCAACAACAAATGTTGGCGAGGATGTGGAGAAAAAGGAACTCTTGTGCACTGTTGGTGGGAGTGCAAACTGGTCCAACCACTATGGAGAGCTGTGTGGAGATTTCTGGACCTACTAAACATAGAGCTTCCATATGATCCAGCAATTCCACTCCTAGGTATTTACCCAAAGGACACAGAAACATCAATTCCAAAGAGCACCTGCACTCCTATGTTTATAGCAGCACTGTTTACAATAGCTAAGCTTTGGAAACAGCCCAAATGCCCAAAAATAGATGACTGGATCAAGAAGATGTGGTACATATATACCATGGAATATTACTCAGCATTCAAAAAAGATAAACACATGCAATTTGCAGCAACATGGATGGCACTGGAAGGGATCATGCTCAGCGAAATAAGCCAAAAAGAAAAAGAAAAATACCGGATGGTCTCACTCATAGCAGGAATCTAGAAAACTTAAATAAGGGACCAGGAAAATGAATATAAGAAAGTGAAAATCAAAATCAACAAAAAACTATGAACCAGAGACACTTTTGGGGGGTGGGGGGCGGGAGGGGAAGGATTGGGGTCAGAATGGGGCGTTTGCAATTGTATGGGGGAATATAAAAATAAAATTTAATATTTAAAAAAAAAAAAAAATAAATTCAATGTCAGATTTCTTTATTGTGACCTTTACTTCCTTGTGCAGAGCATCTATTAAGAACATCTTCAACCAGCCGACCTGCTTCCCTGCCAAGAGTACCTGCCATGGAAAGTGCCAAGACCATCTCAGGTAATGACTTTTATCTGAAATTTCCCTTGAAAATACTCTTCCAGAGTATGGAATGCTTTCTCTTTAGACTTATTTACCTTACAACCAATTATTTAACTTTACTTGCCTCTTTAGTTCTTGAGTTGATTATTTTTCACTGGGAATTTCCCCTGTTTTATCTTACAGGTTCTATAGAAATCACATTCCATAGCCTGCATTAAAACAACAAAAAAATCTAGTCACTTCATTCATTTTACAAGTACTTATTAAGTGCCTATACTGGGTTAAATGATATGGTGAAAATACAGCTTCATGAAAACTTGATATAATTATGAAAGATTAGAACATTTATCCCAAAGTTCGTCATGACTGTTTTTGAAGTTATTTCAGAGCATGTTAAGAATTCTCTGGAAGTCAGTTTTTTCCAGTTTGATGAAGTTACCCGATAGTGAATTTGGTGAGCATACTATGTATTAGAACTAAATCTTCAGTTCTTTATTTGCTCACAATATGTTCCCTTTGTGGCTTTTACTTACCCTAATAGCTGAACAATCAGACCAGTAAAGGAGAAATTCCTCTAAGTATCCCTCAGTTGACGTCCCACTTGTACGTAGATTTAAGTTAACACAGTTCTTGTATATCAGAGCTGGGTCCAGGGTGGAAAGTCTAGCTGAAACTACTATTCTAATATCTTTTCCTATGACAGAGTTCTTCCTATTCTTCCTTGGTCTGTTTCCTCTGCTTTTTATAAAGTTCTGAAAGATTTTCTCATTTAATTTCTGAGTACACGACTTAGAAGAAACTGCTGATTTAAGGCACACAGATCCAACATTGAAAGGAAAAACAAGAGTACTTACAAAATAATGCCACAAATATATAAGCCCATCATCTAAGATAACATAATCAGAGAAAGCATCTGTCTCCTCTGAATCTTCAAAGACATCATTTTACTAATGCAGAGTCAGACTCTACTTATGGTTATCCTAAAATCATCAGGAAAAGTTTAGCCAATTAGATGGGGAAAGTTTCAGTAATCAGGTGAAAAATGACTGATACACAACACTGATTGCATTATAACCAACACGGGTGACTCAGTTGCTGGCGCCTGCATATCCAGTATATCCTAAAATGAGAGAGAATTTGTCTCAGGAAGGAACTTTGTCTCATCTCACTTCTCACTGTGCTCAACCTAGCATCCTGAGCACCTGCTCATACTCAGCCCATGCTTGTTAGCAACCTGCTTTTGTTGTGGCTCTGTTTTTAACGGCTGAAGTGACACTTCTACTTAACAGTTTTCAGAACTTTCTGTAATTCTAACAAGGTACGGCATCTTACTATGCCAGACTTTCAAAGCAGGACTGTTCTGGTTGGTATTACGTCCCACTAGTTGACTTGATGCCTTTTGGTTTACTGTTGATCTCACTGATTTATGCCATTTGAATTATAACATGAATCAGAGTTAAGTGGCATCCTGTAATAAGGTAGCTCTTTTATGTCCATTTACAACAGTATTTTTGGCAAAATTCAGAAGTTGTGTTGACTTGGTTGTTAGGTATTGCTTTAATCAGCCTTTTGTTTATAATTGTATTTTGTAATTAAGTGAACATTTGTGGAGTGCTTATTGTGTGCTACTTAGGTGAAGTGAGTCTTACAGGGATGAATAAGACTCCTTGTCTTCAGAGTCTCTGAGGTTCAATGCATATTTTGACTGTTCTACCTTATTATGGTTTTTCTTTTATGAAAAAGAAAAAGAAACCCAACCTTATCAATAAGATAAAATGTTCCATTTTCCTCCCATATGATAGTTTCTACTGTTTTTGGAACCTGCTGAATAAAATATTTAAACTGTTTTTGCTATAAAATGCATAATGACTATTTCTCACAATCAGTGTCTCGACGAAGTAGTGAAGAGATGAAACGAGACATCTCTGCACCAGAAGGAGCGTCGCCAGCTTCTCTTATGGCTATGGGGTCCACATCACCACAGCTTTCCCTGTCCTCCTCTCCCACAGCATCTGTGACCCCCACCACTCGAAGCCGCATAAGGTAGAGAACAGTAAATATGAATAACACACAAGGAAAGAAAAAAAAAATCAGCGCTCAAATGCTGTTATTTTACATCCCAAATATTTGTTCTCAAAGGGCCAGGAAAATAGGCATGAAATGTCTATATTAACTATGACAACTTTTAGATGCTGTCAGTTCCATGTTAGTTTCTCTCCTCCGAGCATCCTGGCTCACATTCCATTCAGTGTGAAAATACATGGTACTATATCTTTTCCAGTTTCCATGTAAATAATGAGTAACAGAAACTACTGATAATGGTGAGTCTATGAGAATCCAATAGAAATTGATGGGTAAAGTCAGATGACTTCGAAAAGATGCATTCTTACCATCTTACCATTTGATGCTATAGTGTGTATATTTATGCTATTCAAGAATACATAATGTGATTTATAATGGTGTTCAAAGAAAAAATATTTCAACTATTGGTTTCTTATTTTTACACACCAGGGAAGAAAGGAAGGACCCTCTCTCAGCATTGGCAAGAGAATATGGAGGATCAAAAAGGAATGCCTTGCTGAAGTGGTGTCAGAAGAAAACAGAAGGCTATCAGGTAATCATGTGGTTCTTTATTCCTACATGAGCAATTGCCAAACCAAATGTTGGGCTTTATAAGCTCACTATGATTCTCACATTAGAAATGATTAGTCTTATATTGAATTTCAGGAACATGTAAAAAGTCTACTCCAAAGTTGGTTGATTGTCACTTCAGTGAAAGAAGTTTTTTACCTTCCAGAGTAACTAATCTTCCCAATACCTCTGTTCAGCTGTTAGAATACTTGCTTGTTTAAGTCCTGGTTAGATGCTTTTATTTTTTATTTATTTATTTATTTATTTTTAGAGATTTATTTATTTATTTATACAAGCACTGGGTACAGTCAGAGGCGCGGGAGGGTGAGAGAATTCACCAGAGCCAGAGCGGAGAATAGAACAGGCAGACTGATGAAATACACTGCTGAGGGGAGCAGCAGGCGGCAGGAGAGGTCTGCGCACCATGTGGGACCCTCGCCCAGAGACCGGGGGTAGAACCAGTGCTGCAGAGGCTGTGGGCAGCTTCGCAGCCCAGCGCTCAACTGCTGCGCCACCGGGGTGGCCCCTGGTTAGATGCTTTTAATGAGGTAAAATATGGACTAAGAGTGAAAATATATTTATTTTACTTTAAATTATTATTTTAATTATTATATTTAAAGTTTTCTTTTGGCTAAGTGTTTTTTGTAGCATTCTTCCCTTCCCATTGTATTATTTTTGTGCCCTTATCATTTCATATCTGGATTATTTTAACTGCCTGCCCTTTCCTCCCCCATCTGTCCATCACTCTCTTTTTTCCTTTCAATATTTTATTCAGGTTTTATTTTAAGTGATGTTAAATAAATACGGCATTTGGAAGGGCAGTTCTAATTTTACACAAAATGGAAATCTCTAAAATGTACCCATTTTTCTGCTAGAAAGTATAACTTACTTCCCAGTACCCTCACATATGATTTTGGTTACAGGTACCCTTCCCAGCTTGTTGCCAGTATTATTTAATGCCCTTTCATATTATGGTATATCCATATAGAAATACAATATGAGAAAGTATTTAGTGTTTTCTCACCATAGTAGCCCTCCTCTCACCAAAATGACATAAAAGAACTAAATACATTACCAACAGTTTTTATGTAAAAGAGGTAAGAGGTAATTGAACAACTTAAGAAGATTGCCATAAACAAATTCATTTTAGGACAAATTGAAACATGACTTTAAGCAGCAATCTTCATTTCACTTTGTATTAAAGGCCAAGTATATTGCAATGGACTTTTGGTTCTCAGATAAAAGGGGTGATATATTGGCAAGGATGTGGAGAAATTAGAACCCTGTGCACTGTTGCTGGGAATATAAAATGGGTAGGGAAAAGTATGGTAGTTCATTAAAAGTTAAACATAAAATTACCATATGATCCAACACTTACACTTATCATGCATATATACCTACCCAAAATAGTTGGAAACATGAAATTAATCAGATATTGTACATTTCTGTTAACAGCAGCACTATTCACAATAGCCAACAGGTAGAAGCCACCCAGGTGTTCATCAACAAATGAATGAACAAAATGTGCTGTATACATATACGATGGAATATTACACACCCTTCAAAAGTAAAGAAAATAACACATCCTACAATGTGGATGAACCTTGAAGACATTATGCTAAATGAAACAAGCCATATGATTTCACTTACATGAGATAACTAGGGTATAGAGGTTCATAGAGACCGAGAGTAAAATGGCAGTCTCCGGGGGTGGGGGCAAGGGCTAGGGGAGTTATTGTTTAAAATAACACAGAGTTTTGGTTACACAACATGAAAGATGTTCTGGAGATGGATGTTGTTGATGGTTGCACAGTGTACTTAATGATGCCCCTGAACTGTACACATAAGTATGGTTAAAGTGATCAATTTTGATTATTAGTATAATCAAAATAAGAACTATATATACTCTATGTATAAGTTATATACTAGTTTGATATCAAATTAGTATATAACTTATACATAGAGTATATATAGTTCATATTTTATATGACCTTGCTGATTTTCCATCTAGTTTTCCATAAATTATTGCAGTAATTTATTTAGGCTAAGTAATTTTTTTTATTGTGATAAAATATACTTAACAAAATTGATCACTTTAACCATACATACAAAAAAAAAATATTGAATCACTTTACCTGTATATGCGATATAAGGAAACAGGATAAATAGAACAATATAAAAATAAACTAATGGACATTGAAAAGAACAAAATGAGATTACCTGAAGTGAAGAGGGTAGGGCTGGGTGGGGATAAGAGTGGAATATGTTTGTAGTGGTTGGTGTTAGATGGTTTTCTTTTAAATTAGAAATTAAAAATAAACAAACAAACAAAAAAAGTTATATACTAATTTGACCTTTAAGACATCTGTAGAATACTCTAAATATACATTCTTCTCAGGTACACATCGAACATTATAGAATAGACTATAAGTTGATTCATGAAACTTAATCCATTCTAAAAGATTGAAATTACACAAAGTATCTTTTCAATCTTAATGGAATGAAGTTAGAAATTACTAACAGAAGGAAAATTCTTAACATACTAAAACCTGCAGGAGGTGTTAAAGCAGACTTCAAAGGAAAATTTACAGCTGTAGATACCTACCTTTAAAAGAGAAAAATCTCACATCAATAACCTAACTTTATACCTTACAAAAGTAGAGAAAGAAGAGCTAACTATACCTAAAGAACTTAAGTGAAGGAAGTAATAAATGTTAGAACAGAAGTAAAGGAAATGGAAATAATAGAGAAGATTAGTGAATCCAAAGTTGGTTCTTAAAAAAAAAAAAAAATAGAAAAATTGACAAACCTTTAGATAAATTGGGGGAGAGAGGAGAAAGGTTAACATTACTCAAATCAGGAATAATAAAAGGGACATCAGAAATAAAAAGGATTAAAAGAAAGTGCTATGAACAATTATTTGTTGACAAATTGGGTTTCCTAGATAAAATGGAGAAATACCTGAAAATATCATAATTTGCTCAAAACAGAAAAAAATCTGAATGACTTATAATGCCTAAAGAGCTTAAGGCTCAGGACCAGATAACTTCACTGGTGAAATCTGCCCAACATTTAGAAGAATTAATGCCAGTCTTAAACAATTCCAAAAATAGAAGAGACAACACTTCCTGACTCATTTAGTGAGACTAGTATTATCCTAAGAACAAATACTGGAAAATGGAATCCCACTGTAAATAATAGTTAAATGCCATGACTGAGTGGGATTTTTCCCAGTAATGCAATGTTGGTTCAAAATATAAAATTTAATGTTATACACCTTATCAATAAAATGAAAAGGAAACACATAATTATCTCAATACATGCAGAAAGCCTCTTTGGCAGAATTCAAAGTCCACTTGTGATTGAAACACTGAACTAACTAGGAATAGAAGGGGAAGGGAATTTTCTCAGTTGTCCCTCCCCCCCAAGATCGTGAAGAAAATATGCCCACTCTCAACAATTTGATTCAACACTTTACTATAATTTCTAACTAGGGCAGTTAAGCAAGAGAAAAAAATGAAAGGCTTTGAAAGAAAGAATAAAACCATCTGTTTGCCAATAACATGATTTATATGTAGAAAACTTTAAAAATTTCACTGATAAATTCAACAAAGTTGGAGAACATAAGCCCACTATACAAAAATTACTTGCATTTCTGTATACTAGCAATAAAAAATCTGAAAATGAAATTGAGACACTTCCATTTATAATATCACCAAAAACAACAAAATACTTAGAAATAAATTTAACCAAGGGGGAGTAAAACTTGTGTACTGCAAACTACAAAGTACTGTTGAAAGAAATTAAAGAAAATCCAAATAAATGGAAAGGCTTCCCTTGTTTGTGGATTGGAAGTTTTAATGCATACGACAATGTGTGTGAACCTTGAAAATACTATGTTAAGTAAAAGAAATCGGTCATAGAATCGTAGCCTAAAAGACATCTACTCCAGACTTGAAAACAGTATTAAACTAATAATCTCAGCTTTGCTGAATGACAGGAACGTCACGCTGGTGGCTGTAAGTTTGGTCTAGGACTAAAATCTCAAATAAATTGATTATTGCAAAAACCACTTTTTTCATTAAGCATTTTTTATTGAAACATATCTCACATAAGATAAAATTCACCTGTAATGTTTACAAGGTTCTTCCTTGTTGTTCATCTTGGTTGTTGCATGTTAGTAGTATTTAATTTCTTTTTAATGACTGAATACTGTTCTTTTATATGGATATACCTCATTTTGTTATCCTTTCATCTGTTGATGGACATTTGGGTTGTTTTGGCTATAATATATAATGCTGCTATGTCCAAGCTTTTGCAAGGATAAAAGTGATTTTAGCCTCCTCTTGTCCATCTCTTATTTTGTTGCCAAATGATTTGGTTATTTCTCTTTATTTATTTATTTTTTTTAAATTTGTAAATCTTTTTTTTTTTTTTTAAGATTTATTTATTTTTTTTTACACAAGCACTGGGTACAGTCAGAAGCGCGGGAGGGTGAGAGAATTCACCAGAGCCAGAGCGGGGAATAGAACAGGCAGACTGACGAAATACACTGCAGAGGGGAGCAGCGGGCGCAGCAGGAGAGGTCTGCACGCCATATGGGACCCTCGCCAGCGGCCGGGGATTGAACCGGCGCTGCAGAGGCTGCGGGCAGCTTTGCAGCCCAGCACTCAACCGCTGCTCCACCAGGGGAGGCCCGGTTATTTCTCTTTATGCTACTTCTCCTTTTAGTTTAGTTCAAGGTCCTTGGCATGGAGAATAAGACGACTTATGGCTGATCATAAGATTTATGGCTGACCCCTGTAGCCTTATTGACTTCTCTTCATTCTTGTGAACTCCCCAGTCTCACGTTGGCCCCGAAGGCCTCCATCCTTTCATTCTAATGCTTTCTATCTGGAAAGCGGGTTCTGCTCTGTCAGCTTAGAAATCAGCATCTATGCAAAATTGTTTTTGCCTCTGCTTTTCCCCTACAAAGGTTCATCC